AAATGAGAAATGTCCAACGAGGCGTTCTGGGGCAGCATAGACAGGTATTTTCTGTGTTACAGTTTTACTCGCTACACTGTGTACTTTGAGGGTTTGTGACTCTGCAGACCGTTTACATGCATACAAAGCTACATAACACACAAGGGGACGGGTAATAACCGGAAAAGCATGACATGTTTAACTCTGTATTTGCTGTTAGGGTTAACTGAAGCACAACGGGGGTCTTCAGTCTGACTTCATTAAAACACGGGACCCTGCATCTCTGATTACATTGCAACCATTTATACTCACTGTTCAGAACGTGGTTTGGGTCAGAGATGATGTTGGACAGACTCCCTAAGTTATTATGGTATGCTGACTCATCGAGTCTCTCACAGGGTTGACAACGTTCTTTGAGCAAATGTTCAGCTGGTGGAGCAGTTTTGATTTCAAAGCAGTAGACAAGATAAGATAAGACTTTATTTATCCCGAAGGAAATTGTTGTGACAAACACTTGATGCAGAGTGTGTGTTATGGATTAGGCTTTAAAGGGACAATTTTCTAAATGTATGATGTTTTTTTGACTAAGAAAACTAATTTGTGTATTTGGTTGGAGAAACAGGATAGAATCAGCATGAATACTATGTATTATTACAAGTTGTGTGTGAAAGTGTTGAGCTTGTGTGTGTCATTAAGGATGTGTGGGTGCTACGAGGCGCTTGATGGGGGCAACACAGCTGACGCTCTGGTGGATTTTACCGGCGGGGTGTCTGAGCCGATGGACTTGACGGAGAACGGGTTTAAAGAAGATGAAGAGAAGCGCAGCGAGCTGTTTGAGAGAGTCCTGAAGGTCCATGAAAGAGGAGGTCTCATCAGCTGCTCCATCAAGGTGAGGAGCGCACAAACACACGCTGGCTGAAAGAGGGAATACATTGATTTAGGAATGATTAACTGACTGTTGTTCCAGGCAACTACTGCAGCAGACATGGAGGCCAAGCTGTCCTGCGGCCTGGTGAAGGGCCACGCCTACGCTGTGACAGATGTGCGCAGGGTGAGGTTGGGCCACGGCCTTATGGCCTACTTCAGGTCTGACAAACTCACCATGATCCGCATGAGAAACCCCTGGGGAGAGAAAGAGTGGAATGGACCCTGGAGCGACAGGTAAAAACACGTATTTTCTACACATTTGTAAATCATTTAGGATTCAAAAGCTACGGTTTGAACTTGTTATTGGACGACAAACTGTCTGACCCTTTAATTCTGCACAGTGAAAATACTCTACACATATCGGTTTAATTTCCATATTATGTTATAAGAGTAGAAATAAAGCTTTTTTGTGTGTGTTTGCAGCTCTGAAGAGTGGAAGAAGGTGAGTAATAATGAGAGGGAGAAGATCGGCGTCACTGTGCAGGACGATGGAGAGTTCTGGTTAGTTTACACTGCCCCCTGTTGGCACACACAGGCATAGGCTTACAATCTGTTCATCTGTTATAGCAGGGGTTCCCGAGTGGGGGTCGCGAGATGATTACAAAATAGAAATGGAAAATAAAAAATAAAAAAATAAAATAGATTTTTTTTTTTAACAATTACAAAAAATATATATTATTAATAGTAATGT